GAGGTTTACGGAAAGTTGATCTTTTAAGTTCGGCTTACATTATTACAGAAACTTTCTTTGACGAACTAAAATTAGGTTCAATGGCTAGTGTCACAGTGACTTCGCTTTCGTTATCTTGACGTATTGTTATATATAACATTCGGTCTATTATTATATGGATATTCTATAGTTCTACTGAAAATCCAATGCATAAACTAAATCCTGGTTCATATATACACAGAAGTATATTGGTACCATAGGTTGGCCTTCACTCCCACGTCTTCACATTCGAGTTAGGGGTGAAAGTCTCAACAGATTGTATCGTTTATGTGCAAGCAGGTATAACCACAAGTATGTTGATAGGTACTCTTGTTTTATTTATGTTACTTGATGGTGCAGCTAAATGTCTGGAAAAAGTGATCACAAAACAAATAGTAGGTGCTCGGAGACTACCTCCGAGAGGAAAGCCTCTCGTCTAGTTCAGTTAGCGAGTGCAATATTGGATGGTGGTAGCAGCATGTTCAATGCATATGATAAGTGTGGTTGGAAATGCCGATCCACATCGATGATTGGAGACTAGATAAGGGATCGGTCAACGGCGAGAGCCTTATCCTTCATCTTTTATTTTCGAGATAAAAGTATATTTTTTTAGGTTTGGCTGCACGGAACAATTCCACCGCGTCGGCACTAAACAGTACACCTCTCGCTATTCCAACGTTTGTTTGTCATTAATGCTATCTTCAACTGATAGTCTTCACTACACGTCCTCTCACTCATCTGCTAGGATAAAGGATAAAAAGGATAAAGCTCTCGGCGTACATCAATCTCTGAGGGATGCGCCATGCATTCGACTTCACTAAGTATCGTTTGGAGGTGATTGAATGCATATCTGGCCTTTATAATAACTCGCGGTGGCTTGCCGATGTATCGAACCAGTGCTGCTATCCTTTCAGATAGTCTGGTACCAACCTGCCGAGCCCGGAGGGATGGAAAGCTTGGTGGGCCATGGGCGCGGAAACCGACTCCACGTGTGTGTTGCAGGGCGCCTCCAACCACTGCGCCACACGAACCCTTAAGATACCTATAACGTGCTGGAGTCCGCACAGCGGATGTGATGACGGAGCAAGTAAAAAAAATTAAATATATCATATGTAAAACAGGAAATGCAACTTCGAATTGAGAATCGGGTCAGACACAGGGTTTCATAGCTCCCTTTCGCCATAAATCGCCATTCGTCAATAAGTTTAAAGACCCAGTAACACGTAGTAAATGTTGCGTCGAGTATTTCTTTGCAAAAAGAATATCCATAGAGTAAACGGTGACATAGGAAACATGTAAACGTCAAAACTTTCGCGACCGACTTTCGATCAGTTTCAGGACTGATGAATACACAATGGTGACAGGTCTTATTATCGAGCGATTGTTTATCAACGCAAAACTCGTGTTTTAGAAGCGGAATTCGTCTTAATCTCGACTGCGGCTATTACAAAGACTTATGTTGGCTTAATCGTCTGAAAAAAATTGATTAGTTACGTAGAAATTGAAAGAAAGTCGGTTTCTAAAATATGGTCACGATATGTACTAGCTAATGATGATACCTACAATTGGCAGGATGCACTGCCCACCATAAAACCAGGCCATACTGGGTAGCAGTAGGTCAGCAACCATCCCGTATAAGAGCGCATCGCCGAGTGAGGTACATCATTCGACCGCTATCGACCTTCCACTCGATGAGAATACGAACACCAAGAGGAGAACGCGCTAAAATGTTGATCGAATAAACCGTTTTACCAACCTCGTGCAAGCTGGATGGTTTAAAGAGGTTTCTGGACAACTAGTTGTTCAGAAATTCCTCAATAGCCAATTCGCTGCTAAAAATTCCTCCTCATGATTGTGTGCTTCGGAACCCTACAACATATAGTGAACTGCTGCCAAAACAGGCTAAGCTTCTGGAGGGACAGTAGCCCACTTTTATCAGAGAGGACCGCAATCGTCAAGCAGAGGATGTTTTCGAGAAGCAGTTCTTTGCTTTAGTGAAATTGAACTGCTCCGCTTTGGTGAACTACACCTTCGTTTGTGGTAATACGTCGTTGATTTTCCTGACCATTTTCTCCGCTTCGATGCTCGTCTCCTTTTTGTGCTTGTCAGTGACGCAGATATCTAACTCATTACGCTCTTTTCCGCGTTCCGACAACATACCGTGGTTTGACAACAGTAATCCTCTACTACCTCCTTGCACTTCTTTGCATGTGCTTCAGCACAGAGACACCCGTATGAACAGAAATGAATTTTATCACCTCTATGTGTCTCGCCCATCTACTCTTCTCTTATTGAAAAAAGAAGGAGACGTATAGTAATTAACTTCTACAAAGGACGACTTCTTTTTGGATGATGCATCTTATTTGTGGTTCCCGATGTGGTTTTCTTCCTGTTGAGCATACGAACCTCATGGTGATTGGGCACTACGACTAGATTTTCTCATTTTTCGCAACACCATCGATGGATCTCCGAGAATCCTCTTCTAAGCCACCTTGTTTCGTCGAATATTTTTAGGCTTCAGTTAAAACCCTCTTAAGTCTCAGCGTTCTATATTTCTGAAGCATAGAATTTGTTCTCAACGCGATCTAACAGCAATCCTCTTCTCTTTGTCTTTTTTCTGCTTTTTTTTCCCTCTTACCCTTTCAGGCAGCCACCACCTCCTCCAAATCTCTTTAGAAATCAGGGTTTTACCAAACGATTTTCTACGACCATAAGTTTCCCCTCACCAGCGCATTTTCGTCGGAACCACTCAGCTCTTCATTGCGTGTTTCTATAGCTGATGTTTGAGGTCTCGTAACAGTGTTACTATGCCGAAGCGCATCAAATGTTTCAGGTTTCGTCTGTTCACGGCACCGCACTAACTCTCAGGACCTCTTCGGATTTTCTTCCTTGAAAAATAAACTCCATGACTTGCAATCGACTGCACTCCTTCGTAAGTCCGTCTCCATAATATTCTCATACGTTGACAGTGCTCCCTCACACATAAGTGCCTATATCATTACTTCCCTATTAGGATATGATTTATCTTATCCATGTGATCTTCTTATGCATTAAGAATCCCAGCTCAGATTAAGTAGGAGAACACTGTTCTACGAAAATTTAACGCGTGTAAGTACTCATATCGATTAGTATATGGGCGAATTCAGCATGTTAAAGGATTTCCACTAGTATCGATTCTGTTCTCGATCAAGTCGACTGCATACGTAAGGAAGAAATAGACACACGGCGAAATCTCTTCTAAGCGCATCAGGTGCATGTAATGTTTAAAACCAATACATACTCCATAACTTTGCAGTGGTTTTGATGTAGAACTATTCCAACGACGCGTCTTAAAATTTAGAAATTTATTGTAGCTCATAATAAAAACAATAATAAATAACACAATAGTGATATAAATCTCGTTTCAATTTACATTTCAGGGTAAAGATTTAACATATCCAAGATCATGATGCCCTTGCAATGGCGCGTGCTAACGTGGTTTGCCGATCAAACGACCAATGGCTAGGGCGGGTAGCAATTGGAACACCGAACCAGCGTTAACTCACTTAAACCACACAGTCGTCGTAAAACATTATCAACAACAACAAAAATGAGAACAATAGCTAGCGCGTGGTTACAGCCTATATGAAGATGAGAGACAGAGACCACCGAAACATGCACTCGTGTACGCATCTACTACAACGAAGACACAAAGAAACGAAGGGAATGATGACGGATGCAATAATAGTTACACAGTCCACTTTTTGTTCACTACAGAGGTTGATGTGGAAGGTGAGCTGAGCAAGCTGCGAAATTGAGAAATCGCGGCAAAGCGCAGTCGTATGGAAGGAACTCTGCGAACAATTAAATCAACAACAGTGATTGAAATAAGACTGAGGACAAAGTGGGGACATGTATGAAGTTGTGGAATTGAGAACAAGATTGAGGACAAAGTGGGGACATGTATGAACTTGTGGAAGATACCTTATAGATGCTTATTAATCTACATATAAACTCACACGTACACATTTGCATGCACACAAATAAATACATGAGAAGAAAATGATTAAACAAAGAGATAAATGTTTCGCGACTTGTGCACTGCGACAGCGCTCAAAGAAAGGAAGTGGTAAAATGCAAGTGTAGCTCAACTAGATACGTAGAGATGTGTGGTACAAAAAACACAGTTAATAAATACACAACGTAACAATACACCTCGCAATGATGTCAACCGAAAGCTACCTAAATATTGATGAGCGGACTGATTTAAGAACCACCTCTTTACAGTAGATGTTCAAACAATGAAAAAGCATAGTATATGAATTGGAGCAGACAAGACGGACGAAACCTATCCATCGAAACACAACGTCAGAGGTACATAACATTAAAATTGGACCTGATGGACCTTCAGAAACACAACACTCACGCACTAAAATTTTGTTTTTACACGTAACTCTTATAATACAGACAATGATGCTTGGGCAGATGAGGCGTTAACTCGCTTATTTGACGACGAGAATTACAACGGCGATTATGGGCGGTAATGAATAAGGAGAATCAGAAGACAGAGAACAACGATGACAACATAATATTCTAAGACAGCGGCTGCGGACGGCCGGCGTCCGTGCCTCTCTATATCACAGTACTGTAACGAGTAGTTGCTCAAACGGATCACGAAGACTGGAAAGGCTCGCTTGTTTTCCCCATAAAATATTGAGAGGAAAACAGTGATACACGTAATTTTAGGTAACGACAACTGGGAACTACAATATACTCTGTCGGCTCTTATGCCTAGGACCAAGCTTGTCACCGGAATTGCCCGGGTTGATCTGGTGGCCCGGCCTGCTGCGGTGGCAACATCGGAGACGAACCCATACCCATGGATGGCGATCGACCCTACAACTATCTATTTATCCACTACATAGTAAAAATGAAACCCACGTCCAACAACTTTCTCATGTTAGCATCAGGAGCAAAGCGAGCAAAAAAATAATTAGCAGAACCTAAAAAATTGAGAAACACACCTGACCAACACCAAATTGCTGCCCTGAAATTGCAGGTGATTGGCCCTGTTGCTGACGCTGCTGGTGATATTGTTGTTGTTGCCATCCGCCTGGTCCCATGGGAACGAACTGACCGCCTGGCCCTCTGATGGAACTCTGCGGAGGTTGACCACCATAATAACCGGGTTGTGGGCCACTAGGTCCTGGACCCATATTTGACGGCCAACTACCTCCTGCCATCTGGAAAATGGAACAGTTCCAATTAACTTGCTACAGTAGTTCCGAAATGTTGAAAAGTCACAGATCACTTCAAAACCTAAACAGTATTTGGAGAACTTACTTCAATATTAGGCTTCGACTTGATAAATGCAGCAAAAAGATGTGGTGTTTTCTTAAGCTCTTGGAATACCATCTGCTTCTCCTCGTCTGTCTTCGCCATCTTGAATCGATTCACTACTTGTGCCATTGCAGGATCCGTTACAACCGGCGCATTCTGTTGTTGCTGTTGTTGTGGAGCCGGTTGCTGTTGCTGTTGTTGTTGCTGCTGAATTGGCGCCCCACCAGATTCTGGAAATAATTGCTGTTATCTTGGAAGGTAAAAAGATCTTAAAAATATTCAGAAACTGCTGCATATGTACTCACGTCCTCTCATCTGACCCATCCCTGGATGCATTGACATTCCAGGTTGCATCATCGACGTCGTATTAAAGCCAACCATAGGAGTTGGAGCACTGAAATCATGTGTATGTTGTTAGCTGTAGTACAACACGAGCAAGGGCATTGTGCGACGAACTTACCGATACGGTGGTGGTGGTTGTCCACTTGTACCTCTGCTACCTGATGGTATTGACTGGCCACCTGCATGTTGTCCTGGACGCATTCCACCCATTATAGGAATTTGCTGTTGTTGTTGTTGTTGTTGCTGCTGCTGCTGCATAGGATTATACATATTTGACGCATTGACTGCACCACCCATCCCGCTACCCATGCTCTGTCCCATAGACATCCCACCATGCAGTTGTTGTTGTTGTCGTTGTTGTTGCTGCTGCTGCTGTTGAGGCGGCATCATCCCCGAGGCTAATAGGTGACTTTTTAAGACATGTGCTCATACAATACATATTTTTCAAATGGATAAAAAAATTACACATGAATCCACTCCTTGGATGTTGATGTTGATTCGGCTGCGAATGCGATGGAATTGGTATTGACTGAACTTGACCTAACGGGCTTGGACCAGGGACACCTCCCTGAATATCCTACATTTGACATATTTGAATTCTAGTACAAATCACTTGTCCAAAACAAAGTTAATAAACAAATTGCTACCCGACACACCTTCATATGTGATCCGACGAATGGTTTATTATCCGGTGGTGGTGTTGACACTGAAGTTGCCGAGGTAACGTTAACCGCTGACGAACTAGAGGATGGACCTACAAGTTTAGCAAACTTCATAAATTTTCAGCAAACTATTGATTACTAGGTATTTTAAATTGGATGCCGTGTCACACGTACGGCAACTACACTATTACCTCTTAAACCATAGATTCTATTCCCAGTGGAAACTTTCTCTCAGTCATATGGAAAATATTCTCTTGATGAACTATCATGAGATTACTACAAAACGCCTACCCAATACTGGTTAATGTTTCAGGTTAGCCGAAGTACATCAGAATATAGGTTGTGATGATGTGCGGTTCAGCAGTATAAGCATTATTGACTTCAGAGTTAACATATATCAATTTTTGAATCATATTATACTAAGGGCATCATAAAATAAGAACACTAGCTTCGACACAGAAGGTGGTCTACAAACGCAGTAGGAGTGGCCAACAAAAAAAATCAGTGAATATTTATCACAAATGAAAATATTACCACTGTGTTTCTAGAAAAAAAAATGGTGTTAAAACCAAATCATAGCCCCTTATGCAAAATATCACCATTCACTTTCGGTGAATATATAGGGTTTTTGCAAAACAAAAAGAGAAAAAATTAGGAACGGCAGCCACTGCGCAAGCAATCGAAAAACAGGAAAAAAGAAGGAAATACGAGGAAAAACACATGTTAAGTCAACGCCTTCATCAATCTTTCTTCACGACGACTACCAAATACTGGACGAGGGAGTAAACGAGGAAAACCAAAAAAAGGTTATCTCACCAGCTCCGCCCAGGTTCCGTTTCACCCAGCCGCGACATTACGAACATCATGGTGCCCATTTTCAGTTAAGCGGATTCCAGAATGTTTTTACTATGTTAAGTAAACTCATCCGATAGTTAATCGAAAGCAGATCAAAACAGGTGTAGTCAGACCAGAGAGGAATTACATCTACAAAAATATAACAAACTATTTCAAAAAAACCGTTCCGAATGGTTTGTTAGCCGGTAATTTGACTAACTAATTGCTAGTTAATTCTAATCGGCTTGTATGGAATGTTCAGCTAACAAAACACCGAAATGGAACTTAGCACAGGGTGTAACATACTTAGAAGTGCTGACAACAATATATGAGCATGATCGACCATAACAAAACCCAACAAATAGTATCATATATACCATTTATACTCATAGAACGATAGACCGAATTCTTTTCTATAACCCTGTCATGTGCAAAACCTCTTAAGTTCTCTAGTTAATAAAAAAATATTCTTTATTATCATAAAACTAGAAAGCCCTCAGCTTACGAAAAATTACTCGCCTAGAGAATTGGTTCAACTTGCATTTATTTCAAGCAAAGAAAGCACTGCTATAGGCCACTTCACTGAGAAAACAGCTTCACAGTTCAGCATCCATCAATAAACTGTCTAACGTAGCAGCAGTGATTAGGTAATGATAATGACGTCACCTGTAACCGCTTTTCGTGAAACGTCTGAGTGCGGCAGATATCTAAGCAATTTGTATTATCTAACTTTCTAAAAGACTTTATAGTAAAGAATCGATGATTACTGTGTGATAGAGCAAAAAAGGAAGACGTCGAACTTCTATTTACACCTGGACCACTAAATTTTGAAGGGACATTTTAGATAAAGGCTGCCAATTCTAATTGAAGCAAAGACCATATTTTTATTAATTTGGTAGAGGAATTCGTTTACCATCCTATGGAGAAATTGCGTAGTAGATCCACTTCATTTACGAAGAAGGAAACATATAAATTGAGCTCTCTGTGAAGTCATTCGTTATTCATTACAAATCCAGATGAAGAGCTTTAGTTAAAAAAAATTGATACATATATAATTTAGTAAAATATGTCAGCGAACTTCTCGACTACAAATAGACCAAAATTTTAGCCATATTCACAAAATTGTCGTATTGCTCAATTTTCTGTCAGTTCACCAAAAAATTACGTCTTATATATTCCACAGAGTTTTTCCACACTATCCTGAACCGCACAGCAAACTATCTGCACCCTACGTAAGGTTGAAAAAGATAGGTAAGTTTGTATGTGATGAAAATCATTCTTGCAGGACTGTGTAAATAGTAATGTTCTCACCTCCTGCAACAGCCTGTAAACCGTCGATGCGACGCCGCATCATCATGTCTGCACGTCGAGCAATCGAGCGTTTTTGTTCAGCTAGCTTCTGCCGAATATTCATACAGAACGGCACCTAAAGAAGTAAAACCAAATAGCAAGATCTTTTTTGTGCTCAACTATCCTAAAAATCCTTACCGAGCAAGAATCCCTCGAACAATGCTTGGCATGATAGCAACACAACGCTATCAGTTGCTTGCACACTGGACAACTAGCATTCACCCGCTTCTTGCACATCTTCGTGTGTTGTACAACGCGCTTCATTTTGTGACATGACACACGACGACAGTTTGCGTCTCTACATTGGCATGCGTGCACCAAGGACAGAATACAACGCTGAAAACGTGGGAAATTACACGTATTGAAAACGGGGTTTAAGGTAAGAAGAGAACTTTTAAACCTCGCGTGCTACCTGGATGCTTTCGAAACGGTTGTTGCCACCAGAATCACCACTCTCTGCCCCAATAAGCGGTTTAATCTGCTCCATTGGATGGTCATGAGAGACGGATTCACGACACGTCTCACACAAATCAAAGTCCTGCAGCAAACAGAAAAAATAGGTAAGGGAAAAGAGGAAGAGGTGAAACAGAAACAATATTATTACAATTCTAGCTATGTTCATCTGGTTTAGTCCATAATTTCTTGGTCACTGCTTTATGAGAGTCTAAGTAGTTATTAACTCACATCGCACGTCGTGCAATGCCATTTAGCATTGGAACTGTTGCACTTGTTGCACGTATAACTCATATCCTTATTCACATCCGACTCGTGCAATGCATGGCATAACGCTAGAGTTGAGAATCTGGAACAAGAATAAGACAGAAATAATTTCTTTCAAACAGGCAAAAGATTTTTCCGAAAGACGCTACCGCATCTTTAAGACCTCGATAAATTTTATGTATTGTCAAGGTATGATTTTAGAGAAATTGGTAAAGAAAACACGTTAGAGTAAAGTTTTACAAAAAAGTACATCTAGAAACTCTCTTTCATCCCGCTTTTTGTATTTGGTAGCAACAACAGAATATTCTGAAATACTGATTACCGTTGTCGCATGGATTTACCAAGAACATTGCTCTACATATCAATGCATCCCAAATAAATCTGACAGTTTGTTTAAAGCATCAGCGTTGTTTCTAATTCAAATGCTTTCCAGGATCGACTTTCTCTTAACCTCGGCATTGGAATATGAATGTGTCGTTTTCTTGCTCAGCAATCGCGAGGTTTTTAAACAGCATACATTTACTTCCATAAAGAAAACACAATACAATACAACGCTAGCTGACGTTTCGGCAGTATCGCCTTCTTCAGAGCCGCTTTTTCGTGACTTCCAATGAGGAAGTTTAGAACAGCTGATTATAGTCGCATGTGGTTGACGACTGCCAAAAACTTTTGTGCTCAATATTTGGAGGACCACCTCTGGAGGAGAATAGAGAATAGAAACCAGAAAGTTACATATACTAAAGAGTCGTCAACCACATGCGACTATAATCAGCTGTTCTAAACTTCCTCATTGGAAGTCACGAAAAAGCGGCTCTGAAGAAGGCGATACTGCCGAAACGTCAGCTAGCGTTGTATTGTATTGTGTTTTCTTTATGGAAGTAAATGTATGCTGTTTAAAAACCTCGCGATTGCTGAGCAAGAAAACGACACATTCAAATGCTTTCAACGTTCGGCTTAAGAAATAATAGTGTTACCAAACACATTAACAGAGTATTTCTAAATGTTTGCTTTTTCTTGAACGCCTACTTGGCTCTCCTCAATGAGCTAAACTCCCAGTGCTCATCGCGTGCTCTTGTCAAGAACGTGTCTCTGCCATCCATCATATCTGACGCCATAAGTGGATCAGGATCGACAATGTCGGGTAGTGACAAAGCAGATTGTTGCGTGACTAGCCGAATCGTGAAGAACACCTGGGGAATTTTGCGTTAAAACAACAAGAAAGAACCTTCGCGATTGGAATACGAACCGCACTATATATGCAATGAAGTGATCATCAAAATAATGTAAATTACAAAAATAAAGAATAAAAATTGTATTGTTATCTTAAGAAATCTCATTTTTGAGCGGATGCGAGTTTGTTGACGAGTATTTTGATTTCCTACGGCTAACGTTTCGGTGACTTCAAAGCCTAAGCGTCTTATTGTGAGCGGTATCTTCGTGAGTATTTCGTGGGTAGCTACTTGGTGAGTATTCTGCAACCCTAATAAAAATCGGACTTGTAAACCAGAGCAAATACCAATTGATGAAGAAGCACTCACTGTTTTCACTTTTGAGGAATGAGACCAATCATATGACGTCGTTAGACAAGGACAAATTAATCTCACTCAGATCAAAAAACTAAGCAGAGGTAAGGCGACAATCTACGTTGCACAGTGAGGAATTCGTCCTCTCTATTCATTTTTGTAGTTTCGCAGTTCTTCAAAACGCGCCTTCGAATATTTTGCGTGCTGACGTTTTTGATTCCTTGCGCGACCAACGTAAATGTCTTTGTGTCCAGTGAGATTTTCTAGAGTAGTTTGGCGGATTTTGAATTATCCATTTAGTTGCTTTTCTATGCAGACTCCTTTTCTCTTTGGAAACATGCAGTGATCAAATATATTGGCTAAAGTAGTAGGACGTTTATGCGCGCACAGAACACCTAGGTAGAAGGTTTAAAGCGACGTAAAGTGCCTCGTTTGGCTATCACAGTGAATAAAATCGTGAAGCTGATGATTTCGAAGCCGCAGTAAAGATCGTCGCGCAGGAATAAAAAACATATAGTGCAAAATCTTTAAGGAACTTAGGATAAACTTTAAAAACACAAAAATGAATAGAAAGAAAGAAAGAATCCCTAGGTGTTGAAGAGCATGAACTTCCCGAAAGATTAGGTAACGAACATGAAATGTGTGTAAAGTGTGAAGTACTTCACTAAAGCATAACAATTCAAAACAAGCAGTTTTCCAAAAAAAACTTTAGCATCAACAACATTTAAAATCAACTATCTGAGACTCATATTGGTAAATTAATACAAACCTCTTTATGCTTTTCAAACTGGGAATACAACTTATCGGCCACCTCGTTACCAGTGGAGCTCCCTTGTTTCTTTTTATTCAATTTCGAATTCTTCTTCAGGTTATTCTTCTTGTTCTTTGAGCTGCAAGAAAAAAAAATTCAGAAATAATACTCTCCACTCTTCCACTATTTTTATCCTCTAAATCATTACGCATTAACAATATATTACTATACCTAGAACAACCGATGAGACATTTAAACAGAAAATTAAGAAGTGAAAAAGATAACCAAAGTGCACCCACTGTACATACCTCTTTTTCTTCCCATTATCACCTGACTGAAATATGTCATCATCTTCTTCATCTGCTTCAGCAACTTCTTTACGGCGCTGAGCCTCCTCATTTCCAGCCTCACTAAATGGATAATAGCAATATCCGGAAGTATAATGATACATGCTCCAATCACATAACAGTGAACGAACCGTATACAGTCTTCAATTACATTTGGCCAAAAATCGCCTTCAAAATATGGTAAACTCATAGGTGTAGTCAAATTATCATCACGCGCCTTAAAAGAATCTCATAACGAAAACGATGACGTCAATACGTCATTCGCACTATGATTTGAGCTCACTTGTTTGTAAATGTCCTTGAATTCGACAACCGTTTTCTCAGCAACACCCTTTTCTAACATTTTCTTGTACCAATCCTTGAAAATAATGTCATTAGATTTATGAACTGTTCTAAGGTAAATAGTAAAAACCAATCTTTCAGTTACCTGCAACCTCTTCGGTTTTGGGATCTTTTGCTCAGGAGGATGGCAGTGAAAGATATAATCATCACCTTCAGACGGTGGACATGCCCAAATATGGGCCATAGTGTAACCAAGTCGTTTAACGTAGCTGAAGGTACAAAATGTTTTCGATATTTATTTCTATTTATTTATCGCTGGAAAGGCTAATTGCACAAAAAAATTCTCGACAAAACTCACTCCAGATATCCTAGTAGTATTTCATGATATACTTCAGTTCTGAGCTCCCTCGGCTGAAAGAAATGCACAGAATCCAAATACGCTATGTAGACACGCCTGAAACAACACTGCATTACGTAGCCAGCTTATTTAAATTTATTCTAGGCGATGGCATAAGCACATTTTGCATAACGTCAATAGAGAATGACCCACCTTGCGTTTGGCTCCTTACAGTTGCTCCCATACTCTTGAACATGGAGTCCGAAAAAGCATACTTCAACCCCATCTATAATCTCGAACGCAAATACAGCCTTTGTTCTGTATGAGAAACGGTCCGGAAAACCCTGCGGGCCATACCTGAATGTTCGAAGGCGAAAACTAATAGGCAATTTCAATAAACGTATTAATAGTTCCAAGTTAAAAACGTATGGATAGATCCTAAAAAATCAAAAGAAGATTACGGAAAAAGAAACTCAATGACTCGCTTCGCTTTCATCAATGGCTTCACTTCCACTTCTTTGTCCTGAACGCATAAGGTTCGAATTATCACCTCATATTGATCAGGATTATTCGGCAATGCATTCCTAAGGAATGTATTCACCTGAAGCACATAGTTCACAACTAACGCTACTTTGAACCGATTGCAAAATGAATTCTATTTCACTAAACAATCCGATTCAAAACTTTTAAATAATCAGTCCTTAAGGACCTCATCTCACTACTAGTGAAAAATTCAAAACTGTTGTGCGTTGCCAGCCATACATCAGTCCTAACTGAAAAATTTCACCTCGCACTTCTAAATCTCACTTTAAGCCTAGTAACAATTTATTTGACAACACTAAGTAGCGCAAAGAAAAAAAAGTGCATTGTTCTTAGTTCGCAATAAAATAATATCCACTGACATTTCCAGTAATGTAAATGGAAATGATAATGTAATGTAAGCAATAAAAAATCTACATTTACGCTCTACACTTCACTTTTGAAAACGCAAATTATCCGTAAGAGGCCAAGAAAAGAGATATCCACAAACCCTATCTTCCAAGAACTGCGATAATTTGTTATGCGGTAATCTCTTTGCCATGAACCGATTCTCCGGTTTCGGGTAGCCCTTCTCCTTTCGACAGGTATCGCAGATGAACCCTTCCGGAAACACCTATAATGAAATGGATTTAGATAACCAGAAAAAGAGGTCAAGGAACGAAAAGCAAAATGGAAGCTACTGAAATAACGGTTTTGGAAGAAAAGTTATTGATAACAAAGTAGTCTCCTAGCAAAATCCTTGTTAAGCACAGGATACGTATTGTGGCCATGTGATGAAATATTACAAATCTAATAAAAACCAACTATCTACAAACGTGACTATGTTCGAATATAGACGACAGACGAAAATATGACGAAACACTATGACTCTATACTGCATAGATGTCGTATGACAAACGTGATGATGGCGACAACATTCAATAAATATGTGGTACAAAACCTCAGTCGTCGATAATTGAACTCATTCAATGCACACCAAAGACTAAAATAAAACCCTTAAAGTGCTATAAATCAATCGGAACGGAACTAAAGTCATGAAGCACACTTTCCACGAAGGTCCATTCATATACTCTAATACGTCCAAATTAAGTGTACTGAAACTTTGAAACGAAGTATTGACCAAGTGATGAATCCAAAGATTCTTCAAAGCTGCGCTACCAAAACGGAAACTCTGATATTAGTAGAATCCTTGCAACCCGCCCTATATAGAGCTTCGAAAGAGACGTGATGAAAAGTCGATGTCAAGGCATCTTCCGAGTATGTGTCAAACGTGAGACGGCCTACCACTAACATCACACAATGAAGTATATCTCTGGAAGAACAGACACAAATGCCTTTCCCTAGATTTGATTCACGTGAGAATTATCAGATACTAAATACATCGAATAATATGCCATAATATCTAACCTTTTTGTCGTGTAGTGCACATATTCTATGCCATTTTCTGTGGCAATATTTGCACACTTCGAATGGTTCATAGTCAATCACGTTGTTTTTCATCTGGACAAATTTGTCCTTAGGTGCCATATTTGACTGGTCGTTTGGGTTTTCAGAAAGTGAAATTCCTTCTGGTGGTAAAGCATCGAAACACTTCAGGCAGTACGTGTAGCGCTCCGATACTGTTACGCCATACTGAGAAGAAGTCTGCTCGTACCTAAGACAATCTGTTATATGCATTTCTGTCGTACGCAAATAATTCAGTATTTAACACACCAATTCATGTATAGACCAATATCGAAACGTCTCAACCCAAAAAGATGTAGACAAAAATTATTACAGTAAGTTACATAAAACAGGAACTTTTTGGAATTTCTCACAGTAATGATCGTTTAAACTTGATATTCGCTATCTCGGTTAAAGTAAACTCATTGTATTTTGACCCTCTAGCATATAATTTGATCAGATAACAGCAACTATACAACTTTAACAATCATAAAACTGTCAAAACTTCATTGTCGAAAACTTACACCCAGTAAGGTTGATCTCGGGCTATCGTGCACATCGATGCACCGTAACAAAACAACGCCAGAGGTGTAAACGACAGCTTTCGTGAACAGCAGTAACCCATTTGTTGCATAACCTGATCCATTTCTGTCACAAACATCTCGCTCAACTGAAATAAATACAAACAGTGGTAAACTTCGAGAACGAAAATTCTCCGACTATACAAGAACCTATGGAAAAGCCGAGATGTGTAAACTCCACTAGTCACTTCATAAACTGAGACGACTTGACAGTCATCCTCTTCAATAAATTTAAGATTTCTACCAATCAATGAAAGTTGTACAGTAAGCACAACCTTCGCCACAACATAGTCTAACAGCTAAAACTTCCTCAAAGGTCACACTTACCTTCGTACAGTATTTATACACCTTGCTATTCTTTCGGTTGTACATCCAAGCGTTATCAAACATCAGCCACATGTCATCACAAAACTCCCAAGGATTTTTGTACCGCCCACTGTCCAACTTGATACATATGGTTGAAAGATCCATCGGGTGCTTTATAATATCGTTATAGTCCTTAAAAATAAACATACTGCTGAATAATAATAACTCAAAATTCGTAAACAAGAAATCAAAAAGTGGCCTTGTTTGACATCTTAAGGACTTAAAGTGAGCAAATCATCATAAGACTAAAAAAATAGCACTGACTAAAATTCGGATAAGCGATTTTCATGTTGCATAATAGTCGACAGCGTACTAATACCGTCAACATTATTGTCTATTGTCTATGTATACGACAACTTACGGGAATGTGAAGTAAATCAGGATCAACAGGCATACGGAAGGGAACAGCATCCTCAGAACAGTCCATCTTCTCCCAAACCGGTCGTAAATAATGCCTTCACAAAGGAATATTAAATCGAGAAAAAAAAGTTACACCTCTCGTGTTTCCGAAAAGGTAGAAAAAAGAGAAAGGTCACCTACCGCAACTCATTTGCATCGAAAATGGTGTCCTCCCCAGGAGGCGGAGTGGGTTCTCTCTTGACAATCTCTTTTTTTGGAGATGTAGTGGAATCCGATGCCTTTGCTGTTGCTGTCGATTTTGTTGAGGAATTCGATGCAGATGCGGATACTCCAGTTGATGGTCCAGGGGTCGCTAAAAATAAAACCTCATCCATTTTTCATGTCACTCCTCTATCACAGATCTAACCTGAGCACCCTTCCTCAATCTTTGCTTTAGAATCCGATTTAATTAGAGTCAAAGAAAGGCCATTCGTTGACGAGACACTTGTAGAGGATGAAACCGGACCATTAAGGTCGTTTGTGTCCATTACTTCCATTTTGACCTAAAACTCAAAGGCAGATATTTAAAAAAAAATTGATAGCCCTCACAATGGTTTGTATGAAACAGGTCCAAAGCCAAGTTGACTGTAACAACTAAAGAAATAATAAGAAACCATTTAAATAAATTAGCATGGACATCTATTATACATGCTAACTGGTCAGTTTGTTAACAAACCAATAACAATAGTTGCTTCGAGATGATTGTCAATTATTAGACAACTAGATATAATTAAGGGATATCGCAAACTTATATGGGAGATATAGTCCGCAAGCACCCACAATTGTGACACAATTCAGTCAAACACTTCATTTTGTTCAACCAAATGCCTTTTTTTAGACGCCTTCCTACCACACAGAGAACAAAAGAAAAGAAAACCACTTGCAATTTGCAAAAATTTGCTATCTCACCTTGGAAAAATTAAGGGTAATTGTACCTTGCCATAAAAAGTGCAAAAATATAAAATCTCAAACTAGCAGTTATGTGAACTGGTTTCTACTGAAACGCTGAGCCAGCTAAAATAAACTCACAGCGTGTATGGTGAAAAAGTAAACGTCGTTACACTCACCACTGGTGTTCCAGCTGCTGATCCATGAGTACTGTTGGACTGCTGTGCAAGGAGTCGCTCTTGCGCTCGCTGCTGCTGTGCTCGTGGATCGGCCGCAGCCGCCGATGCCGGTGCCGACAATGGACCGCCACCACTAACTCCTGTCCAGCTCACACTGGGCTGCTGTTGTTGGTGTAACGGTTGCTGCGAATGAGGAAGCTGTTGCTGTTGAGAGCTGGCACTCTGAAGGCCAGCAGGCAGAGGAGTGGAACCTGCCGTTCGATTCGGTGGATTCGGCATATCCATGTCAAAATCGGGAATTGAACCGATCGCTTAAAAAATTTTCTTTTTTCAAGTGAAAAGTAAACAAATAGAAAATGCATGCATATACAAATTAGGTTTTGATAAAAACACAGTATTGTAGAACTGTCATAAGCAGTAACTACTAAAATTAGCCTTCGACAGAGATTGCCTCTGCTACGCATTTTATGTTTTGCTAATTCAATAGAGAAACCGTTACGTGGACCTGCATACAGCTCTATATAATAGATTTGAATGCAGAATAACCAAATCTCTAGAGCCTCACATTCTGAAAAACTGCTACTCTGATTTTGCTGTGGCTGACCAGCAGGTACATTCCCAGTAGAAGGTGCTTGCGCCACTCCGCTACCACCGGCAGCAGCACTGGCACCTCCATCAGCTCGAAGTCGCGAATTCTTCTTGTCTTGAAGGTCTTTTTGAATCTTGTAAATCTTCTCCGCAAGTAGATGATAATACTCTTCCTGTAATGATTCGGTTTTAGCGTCATACAATTCAAAGAAATAGAACTAGCACAAAAGGGTTGATAAAATAGTTAGAAAAAGCTAAATGTTTCTTACGAGAAATCTACAGACTGCAGAAAGAGGTTGACATAATATAGCTTTCCAACTACTCTAGACATTTTCAATATCATTCTCGTTGTTTTTTTAGGGGAGAAAAGTTGAACAGGACAGAGCTTTTTAATTGGCATAGATGAAATTCCAACGCCATTTCCTCTACACAATTGTTCCAATTCTTAAGCAACAAAAAACGACCTCGTCTAGTTTTAATAACATATCATCTGTAATGGTTCATCGCCTCATCATGAAATCGTTGTCGAACTTCGAGACACAGTGAGTGGTACTGATCATGACGCAGCATGACCACCCAATTTAAAAAATTGGTTGGACACTTTTACACAAGCCTGTCAAAGTCAATGCTTATGTCAGGAAATGGAAATCCGATATATAAGGAAAGATTAATGCTTATACTGACCATCTGGAAATCTCGCAGCACAGGTACCCCTAGTAGCAATTGAAAAATAAGTGAAAAACATGTTGAGCTCGCCACTATTCTTCCTTATATCGGGTAACCAAACATTAAGGAATTATTTTGCAAATTATACACATACACCTCAAAGGCATAGTAAATAAAACGTGCCAGTTTTGCAACTTACTCGATCGTTAGCTGACTCGAACATCTCCATTTCGACTTTTCGAGCATAATTGATAAGGTCACGAATTCGTTGATCATGGATGGCATTCGGATCCGGTGATGGAAATATCGCCTTAACCAACTTCCCAACAAGATGGTTACGAAGATCACGAGTGACATGCTGATGCCATTCCTCAAATAAAACATGTCGGTAACTACTTCTTAAGCACATGCCATCCAAAATTTTTAACCACAGATGTGAAAACTAACTTTTACACCCTGAAAGAAAATTTACCTTGACAGTTGCCATAACAAAGTTCCCTATTTAAACGAATCAACATTCAACCACAAGTTGGCAGTGTGATTTAAGTTGCAGTGACAACAATGTGAAAGGATAAACAGGTGACAGGAACGATAAATGATGAGATTTTGCACTCATTACATAATTTTCAGTACCCAGCCGCGATCAACATGACAAAATGCTACACAGTTAAATCCAATATGCAGCTATAAAAACACAACCCAAAGCTAATTTCTGTTAAAACCGTCATTTAAGTAAATCATTTTTTTAATATTCACCACGGAGCTACGTTCAAAAAGTCACCGGGTTAAACAAGAAAATACTTCTTCCAAAAACTATTCACTATAAAAAGAGAATTGGGTTGAATCAAGTTTCTTTCAAAGCAACGTGAAAGTTTCCATATAGAAATTAAACAAAAATGTATTCGAAAATCACTTTTGCATGACTTGGAACATCAGGAGGTGGAAAGTTGATTGTAGAGAAGTCACCAGGCGCACGCGACATCATTCCATGATGTGGACCACTCGGAGTTGATCCCACGGATCCGGGGCCAGCATGTTTGTTCGGCGGGTTCGGAGAACGGAATGGGTCACTAAATCATAAGATAGGCTAGCATCGTTTAAATAATTTCACCCCGAACTGTCGATCTGATATTTTCAACAGCATAATCCTCCAAATGCATTAATAACATAGCAGTTCTAATCGAAAAACCACGACTGCAATAACAGTCCACGCCTTCTCACCAAAAGGCAGAGCGCAGTTTGAAATTGGTCCGAACGATTTACATAAAGACATGTCCCGAGATTGAACAGATGTGATAAAATGTTCAGATACTCACTTCATTGGTGGATTATAGTCGTTAAGTAGTCCAGCAGCGGACATCGGACCACTAGGTGGACCACCAGGACCAGAACCACTAGGAGGTGCAGAACCACTAGATGCAGTCGCAGCAGCAGCCGCTCCCGGATTTGATGCTGGAGCTGGTGAACCAAACTGAGCCATAGGATCCACTGATTGCGGACCTCCTGGACCCATACTACTTCCTCCTACAGAACCTGGAGCTCCAACTGAACCAGGACCGAGGAGCTGACTCATGTCTTGTAGTGCTAAATGAGTGACCAATTAGGTACCAATTGAGGGCGAGGAAAGGCTGGGAAAAATCACACTATTAAGTATAAACTCTGACATAGCTCACTTCCAGCGGTGGAAGGTTGGTTTTGTATACTCTTCAGCGGCTTACATACAGGACAATCGTCACGATTGCAATTTTTCCAGTGAGAAATGATTTGTCTAGACGATGCGCAATGCGCATCTGAAAGATGAATTTTGAACGACTTGAAACTACTGGATAAAATCGATACGCACATGTGCATTGCCGTCCATTATGGCATATCGTCATGTGTTGTAAGACCTCTTTCATAGTACTACAATGCGGGAGATTACATGGTGTTCGTCCATTGGCAGTTTCGGTAGGGTTCTAAAAACTTTTTCCAACTGCAAAACTTCACACATCGGTATACATGTATAAGCAATGCTATATACACGTGTATGTGTATATTTATATTAGTACATACATTCATATGTATATGTATACATATATGTATATGCATGTATATATATATATATATATATATCGTGTCAATCTGTCATTAACATGACCATAAATATCATAAGTTAATGAGTTCAATATCTGTTCAAACACATGCCGTCAATTCTCTGTATCCCATTGATTTAAAGACTTTTCACAAATAACAACCTTTTCAAATCGTTGACACAGTAACTTCCCTCGCAAAAAAAAAGCAAAAAGACTCACTCGTTCTCGTTGCTGACATTTATGCGCGTGTAATAGTAAGACAAGTTGTTGTTGAATCAGCTTCCGTTTTTCGGGATCTTGAGTTCCTGGTGTTAAAGGTGTTCCTGCGGTTCGTTGTGTGGGTTGAGATCCTGGTGTGCTTTGTAAGTTATGGGAATGAGATTGTTGACTTGACGGCGGCGCACCATTCGGCATTTGCAATACACCCTAAGACCAATTATTTTCCATGAATCAATCTCAGATTAGAATTTTCATAGAATAGAATTGTGGACAAGGTGTTCATTACCTCGGGTTGGGTAATGAACACCTTGTCCACAACTCTATTCTATGAATGTATAATGTATAAATACCACAGATATACAAATTCACAAAAACCACTTCATAGGAAGCACTTTTACAAAAGCAACAACTTACCGAAGGTTGTTGTGATGGTCCACTCGTGACTGGGGCCCGATTAGCCATTTGATGTGGTCCATTCGACTGTGATGGGTCCATCATTATCATCTATACCACAAATCATCAAAGGTGAAACAATTTAAACAAAACTTGTTAGCGGTCAAACGGATTCAAATCTCACCGTCGGTCCCTGTGGTGGACCCGGATGTCCAGGCATCATTCCAGGATATGGCTGTCTGTTCATAAAACCCTTAAAACAAAATGATTCTCGGTAAACTACAACAAAAATGAAGTGCGACCACCAACTAAAAGTGTTCGCAATGAAAGCAAGGAATCTTAAAAGGGTTCTACGAACAAATAGTTTCTTTAGGCTTCAAGCACCTGAGGTGGAGCTCCGCCCATGAATTGCTCCGGTCTTTGACCTTGAAATGGTGCATTAGGATTGAAGGGTTGCTCTATCATTCCAGGATGCCGCATCATACCTTGCATCATTTGTGGTGGCATGCCTGTAAATAATGGAAAACAATTCAAGCACAAAATGGTAGTACGAGCAAAAGCAAAAGTTGTGAGCAAACAGTACGAATCCAAAGACAAGCACAGTGCTGTTACACAGTGGGGCATAACAATCTATAAAACTGAAATTACTACCAAATAAAGATTACAACGAGAAGTCCAATAGTTACCTGGCCGACCAGGAGGAGGCATCTGCGGTCCACGTTGCATATGGGCTCCATTCATGATACCGCCTCTAGGTATACCTTGCCCACGACCTTGTCCAGGATAAGGTATCTGGATTTTCTTGTTCAAAAAAAAATCCGTCTAATTGCTAATAGAAACTGTTAAATAAACTAAAACGACATAGCTTTTTATCCATTTTCATCAAAACTTCGCAGAATTAGTCAATATCTTCCTCGATCTTTAAGCAAACACCAGATTGACAAGAAGACTGATTCGGCTTTGAAGAAGACGAAGACGTTGCAACATTAGCCGAATTAATCTTATCAACCTCGTCTCTGCTTAACAATCGAAGAAGGTACTAAAACATACATAAACTTGATGTTTACAATCATTAAAGATATCAGAGAGTGATAAATGGCGAAACAAACCTGGTTCGGAGCACCCTGAGGTGTGTACTGCGAAGGATAACCACGCATTTGGCCTTGTGGTCCACCCGTCATCATTGGTTGGCCATATTGCGATTGTTGGGACATTTGTATGCCTTCGTACAAAACAGGTCCTTGCCCTATGCATTAGTTTTTAGACAACAAATTTCTACCACGTCTAGAAGATGAAAATGTCTACAGCATACCTGGAGCTCTCATTGGACCTCCTGAGGGAGCACCAGGCGGCCCACCAGGAGAGGGCCCGGGGCCGCCCGCCCCTCGCCCTGCTCCACTCATACCCATACTGGCGTTTGGAGGAGACATCATTGTTGCACCGGTCATTGGACTCCTGTAAATAAAAAGTGCTCCACAAATAAGGGAAATCTATAAGGATTAAATTCTCTAAACAGGGCTGCGTAGATCAGAAAGATACCTCGTATTGAAATTGTTCGCTGTTGATGCTGCAGAAAACGCAGGTCGTGGTGAACTGTTGGCTGCAGGACCTTGTGTCTGGGTCATCAGTAACTCCTAAAATAATTAGCTTGAAGAACACGTGTTTTCATTCCAGATGAGCACAATGCAATTGTACAATGGAAACAACTTCAATGTTCTAAAGCTACCCTACTTGTAGAACAGACTGTTGTTGACCACCGCTTTGGGAAGGCTGCCCTCCGGTTTGTGCTCCACTGGCTTGACCATATCCTGTTGGTGCTATTGGACCAGAAACTGATGATTGTGACGTAGTCTGAATAGATCCTTAAAAACAATGAGAACAAGGGAACTACTAGCCAAGAATAAGGAAAGAAAAAGATATAAGCTAACATTTTTCTGAACTAAAGTAGACCAACAAGACATTTTCCTAAGGCAAAGAATGCCTAAGTATAACATACCGGTATATCACCACCTATGTGAGCTGTTTGAGGTAGCGGTTCTAGTTTCTCAAGCTCGCTCAATCCGTCCAAACCATCTCCAGACTCAAAATCTAAGCAAGGCTCTGTAACCATACTGCACTGAAGACCAATACAAGAAGAAGAAATGATGAGAGGGAAAAAAACTTACCGGACTCGACCTTTAACTTCTTGCACGCTGGCTCGTCCATGGCGTCCAGTGAGCCGTGGATTGGCGGGCGTGCACACACTTCTCAATCCGAGAGCTTTAACAGCTACTTCGGTTAAGTGACGTATCAACGCTAGCTGTTGTAGCAGAACAACTCAGGACGAGACGAACAATGCTGGCATGCAGCTTGACCGCCCCTCTCCTACCGCTTTCTTGAATTCCACACGACTCGCTAAAACATCTACTTGGTGCTTCAAAGCACATAGTTTCTATAACAGTTCAACACACACAAAATCGATAATTTTAGGAATATCAATGGATTCGCTCTTAACTGCTACTATACAGTACCGAAGCCCTAAGTCTAACTAAAGAAATCTGGAAAATTTGCACCAATGCATGTCTTGGCCATAGAAACAGATCTATGAAAGGAGTTTCAAACTAGCATTGGTAAACTCCAAGGTATTTTAGAAGATGATTTAAGAAGAGAACGAGGACACTTAAGAGCATCAACAACACTCGCTGGTGCACAAAATAGCACAACACTCCCATACTAAGAGACGAGCCTTTACACATAGTTCAAGTCAGAAACAATGAACAACTTAACTGGGAGAATTTAAGAGGGTTTGGTTAGAAAACCCGAATGAAATCCTGCAGTGTAACCTCACATAGATATACAAACAAAGAGCCAGTGAAGTCAACTGTCGGATGAAAAAATCTCAAAGGTTTGCGGAATTTTAGTTCTGTACGAGCACCATTTGACACATAGATGTTGCACTTGGAACAATAACACGCACTTATGGCCTTTCCTGGAACACACATCGTATTATTCATACGAACCTACAACGAGAACAACTGTTTGCAGAACATTCCTATCTCCTCAGAACTCGATCCAAACCTACAGCAAATCTCTGAGATCAAAACCAGGCGAAACACAGACTACCAAGTTGATGCAAACCCTAAGGAAAACAATTGGATCCTTCCTGGTAAGTGGAGGGGAGCGGCTAGGCATTGTTTTAACGTGAGATACGTAGACATTGCACCCATCGAGACAGCACGAAACAGCCGGAGTGTGCAGACATCCCGCCAGTGAAACGCCACTGTGGTCATTGCAACGGAGTCAGCATGGCTGCCGAACACGTGCTATAGGAAGCATGGCTCCGCCCCTCTGCATAGTACGGTACATTGTCACAGCAATAGCGCGACGCAAGCCGCTTTGCATGCAACGTAAATCAGCGCAGACTTGCAAAAACTTTTCAACAAGCAAATGTAGATGAGAAAAAACAACAAAAAAAAACTTGGGTACTGCAATAACGAGACGGGAAGGTGGTTCGTGACGGCTTAGCTTTGCAGCTCATTGAGAGCGATTATGTCGGTTACAGTAACCTCAAAACCATGAAGTAACGAAGCACGATAAAAGCCCGGAGGCCAGGCAGATCAAATTGTTCGTTACGGGGAACATACCGGCGTCATGCAACACAATACTTCCGACTTCTTCTACGAGGAAAAGAAAGCAAATTAGCAAGCCGTTAACATATTTTCATAGGAATGAAAAATTCCGTATCGAGCATAAAATCAGTCAGACGGAGCCTGTAAATAAAACTTGAGCCCAAAGCATTAAACCCATTGGGGTCTCGATTGGCTAATAAAGAAAGGAAAAGCTAAAACGACCAGCATACAGACGAATGCGCATGACGTTTTGTAAGCAGACAGGTCGTGCACAAAGGCATACAGAACAGACTAGAAAAAGGAGCGCACAGGGGTGACTGATCGGTGATGTCGGCACATCGCAGCCGTGTCCAGCTCGATGTCGACGCTGCTCATGCCGAGACACAGCAGCACGACCGGCTCGGCGTGTCCTCAAGATTGTAATAGCGCGCCGGTCGGGGGCGGGGCGTGGAGATGCCGCACACCATCAACACGATGCGCACCCCTCTCCGCAGCCGGTGCCGTGGATCCGCGTTGTCCACCGAAACCCGCCGTACTGCCCCGGTGCTGCTCCGGAACTGCTCGCCGACACTCGTGTAGCAGTGCTGAGTGCTGGCCTTACTGTCATATATTCAACTCTGCTACTACTTCGACGTACGCGACTATCTTCACTCAACCTCCGAAGTTGTTCGCAGCATGTGAAGATTTGCCCTGTGTACAAGCTTGTCATTGTTCCAGTACTACTCGACGAGATTCCTACGACAGTACTGATATTGTTATAACATACTCAACTCTACTACTACTTCAACGTACGCGACCACCTTCACTCATACTGCGAAGTTGTAGTTTGCACCAGAGGATTGATACTGCGTACAAGTTCACATTATTTCCAGACCGAAGATCCTTCTCTCATCATCAGTAGTACCTCAGGGAATTAAGCGATATTACCATAGTGTAACTCCGTCATGGTATAGGGGAGTCTTCAATCCGTACTCATCACCTACATCTACTGCCCCTGCCTTCACTGTTATTCTTGTTGGAAACACTGTCAGAGGCGAGTCAAACGTTTTTTTTAATCAGTCAATAAACGGAATTTTTGAGCCATTAACTCTGCGGACTAATAGTAAAAGAATTCGGTATTTAGGACTGAGGGAATGAACAGATTCAGAACCTGTGCTTAACGCCTGAGAAACTCAGATACGTGAACACAGCTCC